CCCGACTTTTGTGCCATTGTGACCACGGCATTCGACCTCGATGACGATCTGCAGCAGCATTTCGTCAAAGGCTACAAGTTCGATCCGACTTACTCTATGCTTTACGCGGAACTTTCATCGGATCACCCGCCGGCTAGCCACTATCGGATTTCCGACGGGTTCCTTCTCCTTCACACGAGAGGAAAGGACTTGTTAGTTGTGCCGCAAGATCGCATCTTACGGACTCGTCTTCTCGGCGAATTCCACGACGCACGACTTTCGGCACACCTTGGCGCGAACCGCACACTAGCACGCCTCCGCCAGCGTTTTCACTGGCCCGACGTCCTTCATGACGTCAGGAGGTACATTGAGTCATGTGCAGTTTGCCACCGTAACAAGGGTCGATCTCGAGTCCCCTTCGGCGAACTGAAACCGTTGCCGATTCCTCGGGCACCACGCCTCTCCACTGCTATGGACGTGACAGGCCCGTTTCCCCGCGATCGCCACGACCATGACGGTATTCTCACGGTCGTTGACCGTTTGAGCAAGTATGCTCGCTTCCTTCCTTGCAAGTATGATGCTGCAACACCAGAGCTCGCACGACTCTTGCACACCGGTTGGATTACCAACCAAGGTGTTCCGGAAGACATAGTGCGCGACCGAGATACTCGTTTCATGTCAGCCTTTTGGACTTCCCTCATGGCTGAGTCCGGTACGACAATGAAACCGAGCTCGGCTCGGCACCCGCAGACGGATGGTCAGACGGAGCGAGCGCACCAGACCGCTGAGAGGATGTTGCGTACGCTCATCCGTCCCGACCAGAAAGATTGGGTTGACCGGCTTCCCGACATCGAGTTCGCCTACAACACTTCGGTGCACCCGGCGATCTGCGTCACACCATTCGAGCTACATCATGGTGGAGAGAAAGCACGGATCTTCGCCGATGTCCTTTTGCCACAGGCTGCCGACATAGACGTCCCTTGCTCTCCCGCTTCCATCCGGAAGTACCGGGACTTGCTGATCAAAGCCCGCGCAAATATGCAAAAGGCTCAGATCCGCATGCAGCAGCAAGCTAACCGACGTCGACTTCCATGTCCTTTCCGCGAGGGAGACCTTGTTTGGGTCCTCTCCGAGGAATTTGGGCTCGAGCAGGATGTTTCGCGCAAACTCCTTCCAAAATGGTTCGGACCATGGGAAGTCACTTCTGCCGTTGGAGACGACCCCGCAGGTCCTTCCTTCGTGATCAACATTCCACCGCACCCGACAGTGCATCGGGTCTTCCACGCATCGAAGCTGGCCATCTACACGCCACCTTCAGCTGACGAGTTCCCTGGACGTCGATCATAGGATCCGCCTTCTAGGGACGAACATGAGGAAGTTGACCGAGTCATCACGCACCGCAAGTATGGCAACAAGCCAAGGCAGTACAAAGTCACATTCAAGCAATGTGCGCCTGA